CATCAACTCAATCCTCATCAAAATTCTGTTACCGATAATAATTTCTTTGGAGACAATAATAATAATTTGGATGCGCAAAACAATAATTACAATAATTTCTTTGGCCAGAATCATCAACTCAATCCTCATCAAAATTCTGTTACCGATAATAATTTCTTTGGAGACAATAATAATAATTTGGATGCGCAGAACAATAATTACAATAATTTCTTTGGCCAGAATCATCAATTCAATCCTCATCAAAATTCTGTTACCGATAATAATTTCTTTGGAGACAATAATACTAATTTGGATATACAAACAAGAATTCTTATAGCAGCCCAGCTTCAAAATATCGTCAATCAATTGTTAAATCGTTAATAACAATAACAAAATAAGAGATTATTTTATTTTATTACTTATTTTTAATTTATAATTTAACGCAAATAAAAGATCTCTTTTTAAAATTCGTAATTTTGTTAATTTTGTGTAGTTGAAAAAGGGTTGTATATTTGATTACAAAAAAAAAAAAAAAAAAAAAAAAAAAAAAAAACGAAATACCCATGTGAGCAATCAACTAGAAAGAATTGGTCACTTAGAAAAATTATTTTTTATATAGTCGAAGTTAAAGGGTCTAATATATTTTTATAAAATTTTTTAAAGGTAAATCTCCATTCCAATCATATTTTGCATAATTATCAACAGTTTGCGAGCAAATGACATTTTATATTTGTACGGTTCAACCAAATAACACATACTTTTGGAAAAAACGTATTTTTTAATCAAACCATTTACATGTCCATGAGTTTAATGTTTTTGTTAGGTTTCAAAATTGAAAAAACTTGTCTTAGGAACTTTATCTTCAATGAAATAGAGTTCATGGAGTTAATTTTTACAAATTATGTGACTTTTTTAATTTACTTGCATCTTTCTGTAGTAGAGTAATTAATTATCTTGTCAAAAATATTCATGGATAAAGCGAGCCAATGTTTAAACAGCAATTGCGAATTTTATTTTACATTGATTTTCATTATCAGTGTGATATTGTTATATTCAAATGTCACACCGCTGATAGAGACCTGATAGTACTCTTCGAATTTTGATTGTAACATTATATTGTGAAGAATTCAAATATTATTTTAATTGTCGTATATGATTGCTTTCAAGAATACATAAACTTAATACTTTGTACAATGCATTTAGAACACTTTGCGTGATAAAAAATGTTATTTACATGGGATGAACTTTTTTTTCCTATTTTCTCATCCAATTATTATTATTAAACTTATGTTTCTTTCCAAGAAACGCTTTAAATAAAAAAAGAAATCCATGGAAACTTTCAAGTACATGAAATATTTTGGAACAAAAATTATTTATTGGCAATTGATTTAACAAGTATGAATTACTATATTTGTATTAATAAATTTTAGTTTTTTTTTTTTTTTCATTTTTTGAAAAGAAAACTTTGGTTTTTTGTTCAAGATATTGAAATTAACGATGATGAAATGTAGTAATCTTAACATTGAATTTGATTCAACAAATTTTTGATAAACTTAGAATTTGTGCTTATTAATAATAAACTTTTAATAGAATGTTTTGTTCGCTTCTCTGATGTAATTTGTTTATCAAAGTGGCTTTAAAAAATTGTGTGGCTAATGCAACATTCAACGAATGATAATTGAGATAGTTATTAATAACTTAAGAACTATGGTGCGTTTGTTTATAATTGATTAATAATTATTTCGTGGCTAGTATAATAGTGATTATCCAAAAGGTAATTTGTGTGACTGATTTAATTGTCTAAAAATATTATTTACAAATATGCAAATTCCCTGGTTCGTTTATCTCTGAAAAAAAAAGTATAAATATCAAGATTCGTCAGTCTAGAAAAATCCATTCAAAAATCAATTGAATTAAATTGAATTAACAAACCATAAAATACTAAATTTAGCAACACCTTTTATCAAACAAACTTCACAAAAATGAACAACTGTAACAATTCTTCAAACGACACCAGCAACAATAATAATTCTTCCAATCAAAAGACTATTTTTTTCATTGACACTAGTAATCCGGAAGTAAATCAAACCATTTCTGCTTGTGGCAGTAATCCATTCATCAAGCCACCCTTCCCACCTGTGATCGACACTCGTGAATTGATCATTAAACTAACTAATACTAATGGTAAATTGCCCGGAAAATCTCCTAACGCTTTTATCATTTATCGAAAAGCTTTTCTGGATACAGCACATGCTAATGGCTACAAATTACCAATGACCGTTATTTCAACAATGGTTTCCAAATCTTGGGAAAGTGAGCCACAATATGTTAAAGATGAATATAAAAAACTTTCCAAGGAAGCATTCAATCGTCTCAACGAAATGAATCCAAAATCAACCAAACCTAATAAAAGAGAACGTTGGAATTTTGTTTCTTTTGAGCAAAAAAAGAAATCCCGCAAACCTCGTCTTAATAAAAACGTTAAACGACTTGGAAATAAAAATGGAACCGGAAAATCTAAACCATCTGCTACTATTATCGACAATAACGATAATAATAATAATAATATTGCTAATGCAATTGATTCATTAACCTTCGATAATTTCAACAACGACGACGACGACGACGACACTCCATTATTATCATTTTCTCCTCTCTCAACTTCTTCAACAAATTCTTCGCCTGATGTTTCAACAAATTTCGATTTATTCTTCAACAACTTCTTTGACAATGATCTTCTTATTCAAAATATGTTAAACGCGTCATCTTTTACATCAAATCTTAATAATTTAAATTCATTCGGTCAAGAAGATATGTTATTATCTGCCACATCAAATGATTATCAATCATCTTCTAGTAGCAGTAGTCCACCTGATATTGATAATTTATATGAACAACAAAATTTTGTAAATTCAATCAATTCTTTCGTTCAACCACAATCATCTTCATCTCCAGAATCGGAAATCTTTTCTGATGTTAATAATAATAACGATAATATAGATGAGCTTCGACAATTTATAAATATTTGTGAACAACAAAATAATTTTCCAAATTCATCATTCAACGAAAATGGACTTGGAATTTCATGCTATAATAATTTCGATAATATTAATATTAACGATAATAACACCAATAATTCTGACGATTTATTATTTAATAACAATAACAATTTATTAGATGAATTTTTAATTTAAAAAAAAAAAAAATTAAGAACAATTTATTTTAAATTATAAAATTAAAGGAAATTTTGTAAATATATGGATTTTCTAAGAAACAATTTATGATTATGGATTTTCTAAACAATTTATGATTATGATTTAATTAAAAGTGTATATACTATATAGATTTAAAATTTAAATATAGATTTTTAAGATTTAAGATTTTTTTTATTTTCTCTCTCTTAGAATAAATGTAAACATGTAAATAATAATTAATAAAAAAATAAAACATTATAAAATATATATTTACTGTGTGTTCAATCAACATTTTCTTATATAAATAAACTATAAGAGAACATGAAGAATTACTTTATTATTCCCACAACAATTATTCCATATACCCCTCCTATCTCTCTATAACGAACAAATCGTTTAATATATATAAGAATTGTCGGTAAGCATAAAAACAAAATATCAACTCGCATTAATATTAATATGTAAAATTTAAAACTGACATGCGTGAGGCTCTCATCTTATACTATGATCCTATGATTTTCACATACAACAAATAAGAGCAATTTGTAATAAAATTAATTTTGTATTAATCATTAATTTCCATTCATTACATGACATTAAATAGAACATTCCATCGTTTATTTGTAAGAAATATCAACTTAAATTTAACCTTCAGTATTAAATAACAGGAACATTTGTTGATTGTGAAAATTATATCGGGGTCTGCATCGTGAACAATAAATCAAAAGATAGTCACCAGCTAAAGTTGTTAGCAATAAAATGTTTTTACGAAAGATGTTCAGACAAACAACAATAATAATGTTTCAGACAGTAAACCATCTAACAAATTTATAAGTCTTTTAAAGGCTGTTTCTTCTAGTAGTAATAGTGATATTAATAATGTTGGTACATCTATTAAGGATGTCACTGCTACTAATATTATTAATAGTAGCATTAATAATAAAATCGAAAATAACAATGACATTAATATAGAAGACACTAGTAATTATAGCAAAAGAAATTCAATAATAACAATGGTAATATTAATAATAACAATAGTAATAGTAATATCAATAACAATAATTTATCAGATACCATCACATCAAAATTTCAATATAAAGCCCTTGAAAATGTTATTAATGAGTGTTTGAAAGATCTTTAAAACTTCATTACATAGAATCAGATTTTTATACAGTATTTCTAAGCACTATTTTACAAATAATCAAAAGCAAAAAAAATTAAAATTTCATTCATTAATAAACAGAATATATCAATATTAATAATGATGACGATAATAATAAGAATAAAATTACCAAGGATTACTGAATCGCCACGTAAAAACATTTTACTTATGAATCTATCCTTATTGACTGGCTTAGCCTTTTTGCCTTTACCAGTCTTAGGTGTTTCTGTCCACATCTAGAAATCATTATATATAAAAGTTTTTTTTTAATAAAGCGTGTACATATACACACAAATATATATATACATAAAACAAACCTCTTTAACATTTTCCAATACCATATTACAATGACGATCAAATGCTTTAACTCTTGCAAGCAATTTTCTATTGTTTCTACAATTAATCAATATCTGTGTATTATTCTTAACTGATTGTTGTAGAACTGATAATGGTCCTGTATTAAATTCATTTTCTTCCATTTGTCGAAGTTCTTCTTCTGACATTTCAGCTTTTGATTTTTGAGTTGTAGAACTGTATACATTTCATACATAACATATTATTAGATGTTTTGAAGCATCCTTCAAGCAAGTAAAAAATATAAACATAAATATTAGATTAGATTATATCAACTTACGCCATGTTAGATTTTGTTTGTTTTTTGAATTGATGATAATTATTTTTTTTAACGCCGTATTACATACGATCCCTTATTTAACAGATCGACATTTTTACCTTGTTGAGTAAAACCTCGTCGTACAGGAGTAACCCTTTGGAAATTCAAAGGATCCGCAAGACTAATATAAGGTTCAGCTCAGCGACAAAGTGACATATTCAAAAATTTATTTGCTTCAGAATAATTGATGGAGCGTGAAAGTGGAATAATATTTTGAAAGGATATTTTAAAAGTCTTTAATATAACATAGGCAAAAAATGTTCTTGAAGTTTCTCAAGGTGTAAACACAGGCCATGTAAAAATATAATAAATAAATAGTATCTGATCATTTGCTTTAGCTAGTCTATAAGTGTTATTTATCCCATATCATTTATGTAATTGTCAGATAAAATACATTCATAATTCAATTACTTGCTTTGTTGGAAATAAAAAAAAATTGAATCCTCATTTAATAATTGTCTCGGCATTTGTGAATCCAGAATTTACTATTCATACTAAGAATCTTTTGGCGCATTTAGAAGTAATTAATAAAATTAATAAAATTTATTCTTCAAATATTATTTTTTGTAATTTTTAGTTTTTAACTTAAATTCTATTTAAATTATTTATTATATTTATTTATCTTTTCTCTTTTGTATTTCTTTTTTAATAAATTCTTGATTTTCCTTCTACAAGGAATAAATTTTATTCATTGATTCATTTTACTGGTTAATTAACAAAAATAATAATCACGATAGCAACACAACACAATATTTATTTATTTATTTACCATGTATAAAAATGAAAATGTTAAAAGTAATCCTCGATTTTTTTATCCACTGGATTTTCCCCCATAATAATAAATCATTGTTTTTTGATTCTCCTTCTAATTCATTTAATTTTAGACCTGCAATTTGAATAAATTCTTAAAAAATGCAATGTAATAATTAATATAATTAATGTATTTTATATCTATAATATATTTATACATACATACACTCCCCGACAGTAAAACATGGAGGAGGTGGAGTAATGGTATGGGGTTGCTTTTGTGGAACAGAATTAGGTCCCTTGGTATTGATAAAGGGCAAATTAAATCGTTTCGGATATATACAGCCATTGGAAGAAAATCTGTTGCCGTGGATTCATCAAAAATTCAATCATTGCCGTTATTTTTTTCAACAAGATAATGCGTCCATCCATACTGCCAAAGATACAAAAGTCTGGATCTCTCAGGAACAAGTTAAAATGCTCCCGAACTGGCCTGCGCAATCACCTGACTTAAGCCCAATTGAGAATC